CATAAACACTCAGCCTCCCTTGGATGGCCATGGTTTATGTTTCCAGTGGGAATGGCACAGACTTCTATAATGGCGGCACAAATTAACCTTGAAGACTTTGGGTCAGACTGGATCACAGGGTCCCCTCAGGCAAGGTTTCTGAAGAAATAAAAGAGAAAGAAAACTTTCCAAAAACATGTATTTTGATATTATACAATATATAGTAAAACATCTGGCTTTACTCTGAATATGTTCTGATTTTTTCCCCAGAAGGTAAGCTTACAATTTTACAAACCTTACTTGGGGGCAAATTGGTAATAGGAGGTCAGAATATTGATAACACAGGAATAAGAGGAGTCGTTTTCTGCCTGCACAGCAGTGGAACAGTCGATACTGTCACTTGGCTGCTTTTTGGGCTTGTCCTGATGTCTAATTAGACTATTAAGGGCCTGTGGAGCAAGTTAAGGCTGGGTGAGTGAGCACAGCTCCTTCTACCTAAAACACATTGGCCACAGTGCTTTCCTCTGCCTCTCAACTTTCCCTTTAAAACAGAAAAAAAAAACTTTTTTTGCTTTCAATTTGGAGACAACCATGGGGACACATAGAGCCTTGGTATAAAGTTGCCATAGGTTTCTATGAAAGTGCAAAAAAAATCCAAATTATTCTGCAGACTCATTTTAAAACTGTAAACCTCTGTCTGAGTGCTTTACAAACAGTCTTGCAAAGGCTTTTCTCCTCTGTTGACAATTTACAAGACATTATAGCATTGTATGGTTATGAATTAACTGCTGTTGTCTACTTGGCAGCAAAAGTTTGGAGATGAAGCCATACAGCGAACGTGGGACAAAGGCCATGAAGATCAGCAGTGCGAATCTGCCTGAGCGCCCAGCACTGTCAAACTGGCACCTTGGAGCATTCAGTGCATTTGGAGAATGTGTGAGATGATTGCATTCAGAGGATTTTATCAACATTGTCTCAGTGGAAGTAAGACAGAGAGAGCCACAGAAAGAGAGATTGGGGCGGTCGCTGGGGTCTGTAACAATCTTCATCTGATTTGTTTTTCCTCCTCACTGCCTCTTCTATTTTTCTCATTGTACCTTTTCCTTCTGAGTGAAAATGTGAGGAGACTCACATCATCAGGTTGCTAGGCAGCGTTGGCTATGTAGGCACGTAGTGTTGGGTTTTTGGTCCTGTTTTGGTTTAATTTCTTCATATGTTCTTCTTTTTGGTCCTCTACCTTCCTCTGATCTTTACTGATCCCTTTCTCTTCCTTTTTTCCTTTCTTTTACCCATTTCTTTTCCCTACTTTCTGTCTGTATGACTGCACAGTAGAGATTTCTGCGCCTGGGAGATGTGCAGTGCTTCTAGCCAGCAGGAGCAGCAGCAGCCGTGGGCATTTATCAAAGCCGTGCTCCGTAATGACCACTCAGCAGTGGGGAAATTGAGCTGACCCCGAGGCCAAGCTGTTAGAGGGGACTGGTGGGAAGGCCAGTGGGGTCAGGCCATCCTTGTCCCACCCACTTAGTGGGCATTTAGCGCTGAACCATTAGTTTACTGTTTGGAGGCCTCACAGCTATCCCTTGCACAGTACACACACACATGCACACGTACACACTCGTATTCACATACAATGTGGACAACAGCCCCTTCTCCTAATCTTCAACACTTCAATGTTTACCTGACACAAGTTGTAAAAGGAAAAGAGTCAAAGAAACCGAGGGGGTAAACTTTGTTGGCTGCCAGTAAATGCTTATACTTGGCACTATCAGGAACTATTTCTCTGTTGTTGCACTGAAAACAGGTCAAGACAATATGGGCAAAGTAAATGTAGTTAAATTTTACATTTCTTCTAAAGTATTTGGTATTTAATCCCACTGATAAAAAATTTGTTACATTGCATGTGCATGGTGCCTATATTGCGTGTGCATTGCATGTTTGGTTGCCTTAATAAATCATGAATGATGGAGCTCAATGTGTGATGGACTTTCCAACCTTTTCACTGTCTGATTGAACTGAGACTCTTTATTCACATCACCACTGCAGCATATGTCTAAAATACAATAAACCCAGTTTTGTTCACATACAGTCAGACACAATAGTGCACATTTAAAAAGAATGACGTTTATGCCTCCTTTATAGAGCAAAAGGTGACCACTAGAATTTCATCTGACCTTTGTTTGTCTCTTCCCAGACACTGTGGAGACATGATAATTGCCAGAGCTTGTTAATGCCGGGAAGCTGCATTGAGACTGATCACTGGCTCTAGTTAGCATTATTTAACTCACCAATGTCTTCAGGCACTTGCTGACAACAATCCAGGGGCCACCACGGGGCAAAAAACGCAGGGGATCCGCACACACAGACAATCAATATGGACGCAGATGGGAAGAGAGGTGGGGGCAGAAAAAAAAAGAGCTGGAATAGTCATTTTCGCTTGAGAGGCGCTCCCTTGAAAGCCATGAAATAAAAACCTGAACTTTAAAATTGATAAGGATTGATTTCGCTGACACGGGATCATAACATACACCCCTTCGGAGACTGGCAGTGTGAGGGCTTACAGATGCCTGACGCATAAAGGAGAATGGGGAGGACGTAAATCTGACTACAGCACAGCAATTAGCCTTTTACTGTGGAAAAGATATGGAGAATCTTTACTGTTTCATCAAATGGCATTAGGCACGCTCTAGGCCTGGAGGTTTCTCTGGGAAGACAAATGCTAGAATAAACTTGTTTGGACAGATGGATTGGATGGAATTCTTCTCAAAGTTCACTATTTTCCCTCACAGATCCATATAGATCACTAGCAAATGGTTAGTTCATTATGTGGCTTCTATTAAATGTCACACAGTGTTTGAGCAATAAGTACAGAGACAAGCTCACCCTAAATGACATTTTCCAAAATGTTTTCAAAGACAAAGTGTACTGTCAGATACATTTTGAATAAGTTGATCTCAGTGTTTACTGAAAGTGCTGAAAAGTAGCTGAATTCAGAGTTATCACAGAAGCTGTTTCTATTCATTTAATGAAAATCGGGCCTCGCTGTTTTAATAACTATTCATTTGCAAGCCCCCTAATCATGTTATGAATCAGAAAACATTGTTTTTAATTGTGCTATCATGTATGCTTTAAAAAACAAATATCCAGGCCCCAGAATGCAAATTAATTATTATTCAAATGAGCACCGTGCAGCGGAGAACATGATTAGGTTAAAGGAGAAAGAACTTGGTGCTAATTCCTACTCAGATGAGTGATTGGGAGGAATGAACAGGGAGGTCTTGATCAAAGCTAACATTGTAAGCTAACATTGTACTGTATGCTGGTGAGCAGATGGTGAGCCATAAATCCTCTCCCAGGCTCTGACACATATTAGCATTTAGTTAGCAGCCCACAGCTTGCCAGCCATTTAGGTAATATCTCCATCAGATCACTTTGGAAATGGTGATGAAGTGAGTTGGGGGGATTTTAATGCTTTCCACGACTGTATTGTGCTTCAGTAGACGGAACTCTGGCTGTGCCATGAAGTGTTGCTGTTCGCAGCGGTAGGAGACTGCATGTGTTGACAAATACGCTCATCACTGCCCATTTAACTGCATAAAGCTTTCACTGGCACCAGCAACTTGTGTACCAACATCATTTACTTCAAGTGAATACACAAAGTGGCAATGTACTCGACTCACAATGTCATGGATTGGCAATAGCATTCACATCCTGGTGAAATGTTAAATAGAACACATGCCTGTATTTTCATATCCTGAATTTAAGTTGCAGGTTACCTAAATGGGCCATTCGGAGCCAATGCAGACATTTTGGTTAAGATAAATATCCTGAATGCATTGTGAAATATTTTTTAAATACAAAAACAATAAAATATATACATTTTTGTTGACACTTTGAAAGGATTCTGTGAGAATGGTTTGACCTGGCTTCGTAATGCTTACAAAGTTTGTATTAATGCCGACAAGATATATTCCAAATTTGATGGATGGATTTCAAACCATTAACACCTTCTCTAATGAAATGATAGCTGATATAATTTACATCTGTCATATGTATCATCAGTCAGCTGCTGCACCCACAGCTCAATTTGTGACCAGAAGTTCAACCATTGACAGAAGTCTTCAATCAAATAACCAAAGCCTGCAGCCTGCAGCAAAGCATTGGTATTTGACATCCCTGATTCATAACAAACTCATTATCTTGTTAAAACAACAGCAGACTAAAACATTATTTTATTCTATTGTGTACAAGTGCAAAGATATATACCCAGCTGACTGATTTAGTGGTACACCTTGCCTCATGGATTTAAGGTTTTACAGCAAATACATTTTGCAAAGCAGGAGCAGTGAGCTGAGTTTTTCTTTTTTTTCTTTCTCCATGATGATATGAGATGCCCAATGATAGACCAGGGAAGTAATTGAGGAGAACAGTGCTTTATTTCAAAACTCAATTAACCATTTTATACAGATACTTTCTAACAGAGTCCCATTCTGATATCATATTTCTACCTAACTAATATGTTTTTAATTAAAATATTACGTAATATAAATGTTCTACATTGAGTTTGGTGTTTTAATTATGTCCAAAAAATTATGATTTCCTTTCCCTTTTGCCCAAAACATTTTAAAGTATTTTTCTCATTTAGATGTCAAATTACTTACTAGCTTACTACTAGCTTCAGCCTCTTAACCCATCTTTTGATTTATGGTGACAGACCTCTCCTTTAGTTTATTCTTGGTTTATGAGTTTGGCATTTAAACTGGGGATTGCACTCATATGCAATCATATATAGAAACTAATAAAAAATATATTCATATTGTTAATTACGTTAACTACAAGAGTAAAAAGTTGAAATATTATAAGATAAGGACTGAGAGTATGCAGTTATATGCATGCATGCATTGCAACACACACAGAAGAAATGCTGTAAACTCACTTAGTGACACTTACATGCTGACAGACAGAGTGAATGACTCTGCTGCTGCACGGATTGGGTTGCAGTCTGTGAGCTGATAGTGAAAGGGCAGCAGTGAGAAAGAGCGAGACAGAAAGTGCAAACTCTGTCTGTGTGTGTGTGTGCATGTGTGTGGGGTTAATTGTGGTTCAACTGTGAGGAACAGCTGTGAGAGATCATATATGGCACAGAGGAACAAGCATGGTGACAGGCAACTTGACAACACAACCTGTTTTATGGTGACAAGTGTGTGTGTGTGTGTGTGGACGTGTGTAGTTGAGAGAGAGTGACCCAGGGTAACAGAAAGTGTGAGAAAGAAAGAGTGAAGAGTGTGCTAAAGAAAGGCAGGTGAGCAGTGAAGTGCCTGTCTGCCCACCCAACATGTTCACACGCCTCCTTTAAGAATAGCAAAGAGTCTTGGTAAGCGATTTCTACACCAAGGGGTGATGATGGGGAGGATTGTGTAACTGTGTGTGTGTGTGTGTGTGTGTGTGTGTGCGAGTTAGAGAAACTGAACTGAAGAAAGGCAAAGAAGACTGTTGACTATCCTTCACCTGTCACCCAAAGTACCAACAGGAAGGGATCTGAGAAAGATCACAGACTGTTTCCTGTTACCCGCGAGGCTTAGCACGGACGACAGCAGTCAAGGTGCGGTACATTTTACACCAGGTTGCAAAATAAGTTTTTGCCCGGCTTTGTGTATGGCTCTGCCTGGGCTGCAGCTGTGTGTGTTTGTGTGTATTCTTGATGCATAAGCACAGAGTTCAAATCATCAAAGCAGCTCTCCTCAGCTCAGTTTTCAGTGAGCAGCTAAAGGTTAGACTTATGTGTTGCTACTTACAGTAACACACAGAGACTCCTTTACACCATATCATTACCACTAAAGAACTCCGTTGTCAATCACACCAATCCAGTGGGTCATATCAAAAAGAGAGACACACACACTATTTGATTTTATTAAAGAAATTCCTAATTGTGTTACTGAAGTGCAGTGATTTGAAGCAACACCTAAATACATACATACATAAATTCTGCATCATAGTTTATACATATATTTTGTATTGTACAGCATTATGCAAAATGTTTTGAAGGCATTTTATCTAATATGTGGAAAGAACAAAGCTCATATTCAACATCTTAATTCAATCCTCTTTCAAAAACCAAGACAACAAAGGTTATTTTTCTTTTTATCAAATTTACATTATGCTTCTGCTCATACTCGTTTTGTTTATGCTCGTTCTCTTAAATAAAGCTTAAACAAAAATAATGAGAGCTGAAAAAAAGAACCTGCAACTCTTTTGATCATCTATTAATGGGGAAAGCAAAAATGAAAACATTTTATAGTTCTAGATTCTCAGCCGTGAGAATTTGTTGCTGTTCTTTGTATTATATGAAATTTCTTTGGGTTTTGGCCTGTTGGCTGGTCAAAACCAGACATCACCTTAAGTCATTCAGAAATTACAAGGCTTTTTTCACAATTTTATTTTTTACATTTATTGACTGACAGACTTGCAAAAAAAAAAATAACGATTGATCAAGAAAATAGATGTCATCTTAATCTACAATGAAATAATAATAATAATTGTCACAGCCCTGAAAATAAAATATCTACATATATGTTTTATGGTCTATATAAACCTGCTTGGACAGTCCTGTAGGAAAGGATTTTAATCTCAGTTAGGTCCTTTGTAAATATTTTACCACCCAACTTGAAGAAATGAGACCTAACCCTGTAACCCAGGCTCATGAAAAACAACTTGTAGTCTTGTTATATGTGCTCTGACCAGAAATAGGCCTGTGACCTATGCTGGGGTCAACAGCCATAGCTTAAGAAACGCTGACTGTCAGTTAGTTTAAGATCTTTCTAGCTCTCATTTAAGTAGGAGAAAAAGTGACTGCTTCTGCAGTCCTGTGTGTTCTCCATGTCATGAAAAATATTACAGGATTATCCTTGAGTATTTATCTACCATAATTGTATTAGTGATTACTATAATGTGAATACTCTGCCAGTCCTTGCTGTGCTCAACCATAGATAATTTGCTTTTTGTAGTGTAATAAGATTGTGTAAGCTCTGTATTGATTAAACACTAGGTCAATACTAATATGTATTTATTTGAGCATTACGCAAACTAGTCAGCTGGAATAAAGCAATTGTAAAGAGTTAAGAAATTATTGTTTTAAGTTTAAATTATAATTTTGATCACGTTAGTCCCTGGTGACTTCTTGATCTTCTATTTTTGTTAGCTTAAAAATAAAAACTTCATTCTTGTCTCTGTTAGCATTTCAAGCATGATTGAGATTCAAACAGGCAAAGTATCCTGTTAAGTTCTATTTTCAGGTTATATTTTAAATCAAGACGCAAGCACCCGTTACCCCCTAAATAGAGGTCACAACAAACTAAATATCATAAGAAATAATTCTGATGATGGGAATCATACCTAGTATTTAAAGTAGTTCTATTTTTCATTCTCTCAAATCTGTCTTAACTATTTGGGAACTTGTTGTTCATCAAATAGTTTACATTGACTGGTCATTGGAAAGATACAGTGACAGTAAGACATGCAGCAACTGCCGCGGACTGAATTCAAACCGACATCACTGTGGTATGCGTCTCAGCATGCTGAGCCACCAGGACGCCAGATCTGGTCTTTGAAGCCATTGCGAGTTCCCTGAGGCCAACAGCAGCAGTAGCTGGGGGGGTATCAAATGTGTTAGAGCTGCCCCACTAATAAGATAAGTGGGCTAATGCTAGCACTAGAGGTTTGCCACTCATCTCAATCTGTCGTGTTTAACAGTCTCACAGGAATAGCTCTCAAATTTAAATGCTGGATGGCTGTTGATGGAGTGGAGAAGTGTAGTGTGTGCGTCTGTCTGTCTGTGTGATGGGCACAGAGCAGTGTGAGTATGTGCGTTTGGGTATGTGTTGGCGGGGAGTGAGCATGGGTGGAAGCAATGTAAGACGCTGGCTAAGTCTTATGGAACATCAGTTGACACTAGAAAAATACAGCTGCCGATAAATCTCCGACAACAGCCACAGACTCAAGTTTCGCTCCATGATTTATCGGAGTTGTTCCTTTTAGACTTGCCATTTGGGAGCCACGATCTCTGTAGGTCATTCGTACAACTAACTTTTAAACTTTAATACTTCACACAGCACAAATGTAGGGAGAAAGAAACTTGGCCTTTCCAAAGATGAAACCAGCTGGATATCATTTATCTGTTCTTTCTCCTTTTTCCCATCTGGAGTTCTTATTTCTTTCCCCATTCTAAAAATTGTCTCAAATAATCAGTGATTCAGTTTGTATGTTTATATTTAACCACTGATGCACCCAACAGTTGCTCTCAAAATGTCAAGTGTCTGTTTGAAAACTGGGCTTAATTGGAGTATGTGTGTGTTTTAAGGTGAAAGCTATTACTCTCATTCAGTCTATATTGATTTCTTCTAGCACTGGTAAGTCCTGCACAATGTTTATCAGACTGAGAGGGACTTGTTGAGGCATAATGCCTATTTTCTTTGATAAACATGATCATTTAATAAAAGAAAACCCCATCAGGTGTCTTCATGGTTCAGCGTGCTATTACATGTGCCCGTGGGGATTGTTGCACGTTAGCAAATGTCCCAATAAAAACACAGCTTTAAAAACCTTCCTTAAAGAAAAAGCTGTGTTTAGATAACTTAATATCCAAATTTAGCCACTGCAAGGCTCAAAATTTTGTAATAGAAATTTGTAATACAGAGCTGATACCCTGAAGATGGTTCGCCTTCATTGCACGCATTCTGGCACCAGACTACATGTCAATGTGTCATTACTCTAATTATATTCACGCTGTTCCATTACATCACTCACCACATAACCATCTTCATAAGCAAACAACAGGTGTTTGTAATCAAATAATATGTGTGATAACAACAACCTATTTGTCATTATAATTAATTAGATAAAAATAAAATCTTAAAGATTTTACTATATTTTACAACGGTTTATTGCTTTTCATGTCAGATCTCACAATTATTGATGAATCATGGATTTTTTGATGATATTTTCCTTAAATATTGTTAAGGATCAGTTAAAAGAACAGACTAAAATAGGTGTAATCTGCCTCATATTGTATTAATACCAGCTGACCTACACTGTTCTCATAACTTGTAAAATGTTCACACTAATGTCAAAACATTTAACAGCCCTGTTTATGATATTGATAAACATAGTAACTTGATAAAATTGACCTAATTGTGGCAAGATTTGCATTATTATTATTGCATCATTGTCATCAAAGTTTTTTTTCTCTTCGCTATATTTTGATTTTCACAAATAAAAAGTGCTGGCATAAATCACTGAGCTGGCCTTTAGAGGGCACCGAATTTGATCTTAGCTTTCTCCACCCGAGTTGGTTTGCTAATGGCCGTGTGGACACCACGCACTCTTAACACATTCAAATTCCCCCCACCGCCCCCCCTCGCCTCCCGTTCCTGCACTGAGACAACCTGGAAACCACCGTCCATGACTGAGGAAGCTGGCACTCCATAGATAGCACCTCAATTACAAACGTTATCAATCCAGGGAAAGAGAGAGCTTAGCGCTTGTGTCTGTTTTTCTCATCAGCAGTAGTGGGGTAACAGAGAGCAAGACTCAAGAGAGACAGGGACAGCAGTTTGTTCATATGTGTGTTCTTGTGTGTGTACGTGTCTATCCTCTAAAACTCGACCCCCCCCCCCAGCCCACCCTTAAAT